GCAGTTAGGGGCAGGGGTCCCAGGAGGGGGTAGTCAGGGGACAAGGAACGGGGGGAGGGTTGGGAGGTCAGGGGGGGGCGGGAAGTGGGAGGGGCAGGGGCGGGGCTAGGGCGGGGCTTCTCCCGTCCTCTTTTTTGCTCGCTGAAATATGGTAACCCTATATTTTGAGAACCAAAGGGGTGCAGGCTGCAGTAAAGGTTAAGAACCACTGTACTATATGGAAAGGACTAAACACCCTCTTAACCACTTTAGGGACATAGCATAGAAGCTTTCCAGCCAGCTGAACATTCCAGCGCACTCCTGTTTGCCATGGAGACATCCTGTCTGATTGCTGGCTGGGTCGGAAAGGGGGCTCTCCTTTGCACTGTTCCCTATCACTGAACCAAAAAAGCCAAAAAAGAATCTGGCTTGAATTGAACCAAAAACAATGTTTAATTTTTTATTTATTTTTTGCTGAATCAAAGAAGTAGAAAAAAATAGTTTAAAATCAACCAAAATGTTTCACTTGACTCCAAACAAATTTTATTTTGAGTTATTCATTTTGATCCAGCCATTTTGGATTCTTTTCACCCTTTTTGTAGTCTTTTCTTTAACTGACCAAATTTGAAAGTGAAATGCGATTTTGAATAGAAAAGTTTAACAAAATATTTCAAACTGAAACAATCAAAATGAAATGATTCAGAATGATTGAAACAAAATGTTTCCTTTGTTTAGAAATTTTATTTCCAAACAAAACTATTTACCAAATTCAGCCAGAAGTCAGCAAATACTTTTGACTCCCAAAAAACAATTGGTTGAAAACATTTTGCTCACCTCTATTCCCTTCTTTATGCACTAGTGGAAAGAATTTTAGCCTTCTACCCACTAAATGAATTCAGCTTATGCATAGATTAGCAGAAAAAAAAAGTATAGGGGGAAGTTGTTTTGAGTTGGAATATTGGGTTTGGATTTCTAGGCCAGCATGCTTATACCTATTGTGACAAAGCTCTGTCCTTGTCTCCGTGGGTCCCGCGTTTCCTGGCAGATTTTGCTAGCCTCAGAGGCTCACTGTGACCCTCTACATAGCCCTTATCTCTAGAGGCAAGGGTCACAGCCTACTGGGCCATTTTCATCATAAGCCAGCAAGGGAGGTGAGGAAAAGCTATCCTCCCTTGCACCATCTCTGTTGTCTCCCAGTCTGGGTGATTAATTAGGGGGGCAAAGAGGGGAGCCCAGGCCCATCCTCTACTCCAGGCTCCAGCCCAGGGACCCTAATAGTATCAGCTATGGTAGCTGACTTTTTAGAAACAGGATGTGTACAATTCCCTGGGCTACTTCCCCACAGCAGCCCCCCACTTCCTCAAGATCCACTTCACCCTTACCTCAAGGCTTCCTTCCTTGTGCCTGATATGGTGTGTACTCCTAAGCCTCTCCAACAGCCCAACTTCCTCCTACAGCTCCTGACATGTACACCCACCTGACTAACTGGGAGGCTTTTAACTAGTTTCAGCCAGCCCCTGATTGGCTTCAGGTATCCCAATCAACCTAGTGTCCTCCCTGCCTTCCGGAAAGATCTTAATTGGCCCCAGGTGTCTTGATTAACCTGGAGCAACTGCCATTTGGTTACCATGGTAACACGGATTTGTTTAGCCTGGGGCTAACATACCTGTTTCTCACTACTTTCCTATAGCCATCTGGCCTTGCCCCATCACATAACC